CTAACAGGGCGTATGAGTAACTAAAACGACAAGTCGCCAACAACAGGTTCAACTGACCACTTTGAGAGATCTTAGGAGATATGAAACTAAGTTTTCTTTATTTACGTTAAAACCTTGTTTTTCTTTCTACCCCCTAAAATACACATATACAAGTATATTCACCTTCACTTCCGATAGCACTTGACGCCATATATGGTATAATGGTTAGTATGTAAGTTATCTTAAAATTTTTTTTTAAGCACAGATGTGCCTCCCTAATGCAATTCGTTGAAAAAGTTACAGCCTTGTATCTTAGTTATAGCACTTTATAGGTTTTCTATTAATGGCATTTTGTGGGCATGACAATGGCCCGACTACGCCTATCTGCGATACCAACCCGCCCTAGTTGCCAAGGAACATGTGTACCGAGTTTCATCAAGATATTTCAATCTTTGCTCAAGTTATCGCTTGAACGGACAGACAGATAGACAAATGCACGAGGGGACAGAGAGACAGTCACTCGAAATTCATCTCGTCTCGTAATTCATATCATATATGCATACAAAACTCCATATCTAACTCGATTATTTTAAGATGGTAGAAACTAAAAAACGTAAGGTGAATAAAAGTATTATACTCTGTAGCGACATGTTGCAAGTGTATAAAAGTTTTAAAAAGTGCAAACCAACCAAAGTCAATAGGCCATCTGGGATATTATATACTGTAACGGATTTCTCGATAAATCGTCTACCTCTAACTCACTCTTGAGTTCGATCACTGTTAAATAAAAGTCCCAATTTAATGGCTAAACACTTATCTTTATTTCTAATTCCAACAACTTAACACTTATTGCTCGTTATTCGAGCTTACAACTTCTTACTTATAGCTTAATTGCTCTTATCACGACAACACTTTAAGTAGAACTGTGTTTGCTGCACAGTCCGGCAGCCCTTATATAGTAAATCTGTAACAAAACATTGCTTCTAGAACATTCTGGCCACTACGAATTCGCTGTCTAGTTGCTTCTGGCAATTTATTGTCGATTCGATTTTGTTCTATCATCCGTGTTCGTCACAATATATATACTTTCTCTACATATTCTGCCCAAATTGATTGCTTTATTAGTCTTCGTGCAATCCGGCGCTTGATCTATGGGCTTCGCTCGAGCTCAGCAAGCGTTGGTCAGCAACCAGCACTTGTGGGGTTGCGAAAGCCTTATAGTCCAGAGTGGAGCATAAAAGGTCCACTGAACTGCTAGCTCTTAGCAAAGCTCACATCGCCGCAATGATAGGCGCCCTAACCGGACACTGACCCATTGGTACTATGCGGTGACGCTAAAGATTTGAAGGACGCAACTTGTCAAAAGATATGAGAAAGCTGAGGTGGAAATATTTAGACACTTTCTCCTCCACTGTCCAGCCTTCGCCAGACTAAGGCTGAAACATACTGGTTGCCATACTTTTTACGAACCCGGCGAATTGGTGGAATAGATATTAGCCGCCTCATTAAATTTGTGGCAGCCTCTAGACGTTTTGTCGATATGCGACGGTCATTTTGATCCATATCTGGCATTTCTGGGTATCACCACAGACATGCGTCTATAGCAATCCAAGTGGGATTATTTGCGGCATTACAAGTAATCAGTCCATTTACCTAAACTTACCTATCCTAGCTAAACTTGCCACCACCGTAATAAAACGACATCGCCTAACAAGTTGTAAATTTTACATGCATTATATAAATCTATTATGAGTAACATTCCGGTATTTTTATAGGGTGATCCATTTCAAGATTTCTTCAACTTTCAAGAAAAAAACACAGAAAATTCAAATTTAATGGGGAATGTATATTATCATTCGAAAGAACATTCTTTGGCATTTATTTTCTGAAGATTATCTCTTACAAATTTAATTTTGACCGCGGCTACGTTTCAGATAAACTGCGAATAACACGCATGATGTTTTGCTCCAAGGCCTGAGTCGAAGCGGGATTGTCCGTATAGACTTTAAACCAAACAGCTTTTTCGTTTGTAATTCTTCATGTAAGATATAAAGTACTCATTTATCTGATATGATTATGGCATTAGCAATTTCAATTTCATTAGCTTAGTCAAATTTGGATCTTCAATTACAATATTATGAACTTGCCCAATGATTTCTGGTGTGGTTGCGGTTTTTGAACGTCCTTCATGTGGATTGTTTTCAAGCCTAGTACGACAACGTTTAAATTCACCTGCCCAAAATTCAACGGTGCGTTTTGAAAGTCAGGACTCCTTATACACTTTCAACAATTGTTCATAAATTTTCTTTGCTTTTAAACTTATCAAAACAAAGAATCTATTCACTGCTCAATATTAAATTTTTTCCATATTAAAAAAAGCTCTGACATGTAAACTTTAAATGGCTTGTAAACAGAGAATTAATTGACAGAATGACTTGCAACTTTGCATGTGCTCACGCGACGGATGTACCACCTTGAAAGTGCTAGTGCTATTTCTTGATGAGACCAACCACTTTTTCAACCAACCAGTATATACCAGACCATTCGGACTTGTCTGTATATATGCAGCATGCTTCTTTAATAAATAGTGCTACCTCGATGGCAAATAATGCAGATTCATTAATATTTTAAAGTGATTACGATTCACCGTGTGCCTCTTGGAAAACTTTCGATGACTATATCGTATCGATTTGCAATCGGTTATACTTTAATGTGTTTTTGGAAAAAATGTCCGAGTTGGGCCTGCACCAAATTATATTGATTCCGAATAAATTGTTCTACCAGAGGATTCGTATCACCCGGCTTTCCAACTATCTGTCGAAATCAAAGCTTAGCATCTGAACTCGGTTTAACTTTGCAAAAGAAAATTTTAAAAAGTTCAATAGAGAAAGAAAAAAGTGGTCGAAAATTGCTCCTCTCGGCTGAAATTCATTCGTGCCAGCCGCGGTGGTCACTTGTCCGAAATAATATTTAGAACATAATAGGCCCTTATCTTTATAATAAAACTAAATTCTTGGCCATAACATTGAATCCTATGCGTTTTATTTCTTCTTGAACCCCACATGTCTAAAAACAAAATCATAATAATTATAAGCTAAGTACTACTGGATTTTACCAGAAAATATTTAACCCATTTCTGCCCGATCTGTATTTAAATACCCAATATCCAATATCTTGGAGTCAAATAGAAATTTCTTTTTTGTTTAAAAACATAGCTTTTTAATCGTTTTAATGTAAATCCTTATTAAAAGTAACCGAAACATTTTTTTATACGTTTATTGATACTTTTTTATTTTCCCTTCGGCGACCTAGCAGAGTAGCTGTGATTGATATTAACCGCCTGAAAAAATCTGTGGTAAGCTTAATAAGCTTCGTCGATCGGTAAATCGATCGGTTTTGGGTACCGTAAAAAACCGAATTTACTACTGTCCATGTGAGGGTAGCAAATTTTCAAAGCTGCATGAAGGAAGGTGAAGTGATTGTCGATATGCGATGCGTACTCACCCACAACATCCAGGTAACCAACTTGACTCTTCATCGGATCCGTATTGACCTGACCATATACCAGCCTTTGTCCGCTTCCTTGACATCACGAATTCTAAATATCGAAGCACGTTTCTCTGCGTGGGATATGCTCATTCGATGGTTTTTCGTTATTACGTGATTTTGTATCGTCAGTATTGTTTGTGTGTCAACGCGCAGCCACGCAATCTAAGCGGTTGACGAAATAATAATGTAACAGAGAGGAATGACATTCATTGGTTTGTTTTTGTTTATTTGTATTTGTGCAATTCCATTTATATTGGTGCGTGCGTTTTATCGGTTTGTTTATTTGTTCATTCATATCATATTTATAAATATGGTATATGTGTATAATTAAGGACATATGTTGATGAATTTAAAAGTGTATTTATAAATCTTAATATCCGCCTGATTGCTCTCAATGAAATATTGAAAAGGTAAAAGCCAGTAACGGGGTAAGTAAGTTCATTATGATCAATGGGTTAATTTCAGTAGTCGAATTTGTAGGTAGACATACCTATGTGCACATATGTATATACCAGAGAATGTAGATTATAGAGAAGGTCTAACTACGGACCAGCGTGTGAATTGTCAAAACCTAAAAAAATACGATGAACGTGCTAGCTCGGAAGGAGAAATTTTAACAGTGGCGCGTGAACAGAGCTGAGCATTGTATGAAAATTATGCTCAGAAGTTTGCATAGATATTACAGCCGCAGTTACTCTTTTGGCTTATATTATATTTTTATACGCGTATATGCAATCATATTTATTGAAATTAATATCATTTTGCCAATTTGTATGAATGCATGCAAAATTGATAACACTATTAAATTATATAATTTTCAAAAGAATATTTATAGTCAGTTTGGGCATTTAATAATATTATAAAGTTTTTACATAATATGCATTCCTAATAAATATTTTGTTTGATAATTGTTACTAATAGTGATTAAATTTATTAAAACGTATATAAGTATTTACCTTTTATCATATTAATCTTATATAGTTATATGTACATATATCTGAACATGCGCATTTGAATGTACGCATTCAGAAATTCAAATCATAATTTTATCAATTTCAATTTTAAAACATTTTTCAATTTGAAAATATTTTTCCATGACAAAAATCTCCGTCAATATGTATGCATGCTCATACACAAACATACATATTTACGATAGTTTGTAGGCAAAGCTGTTAGAGCGGCAAGGAAAGCGGAGACACCTGGCGGCCGTTCCTTAATTATTTTTTCGGCACAGCTTGGATTTTTTACCAACAACACAATGTTGTGACGCATTGTCGTCGCGTCAGTCCATCGACACAGTGACTCTTTGACAAGAAAAGAAAAAACGTGAGCTTCGGCCATTGGTTGTCCGTGGCAACGGAGATTTCTCATAAAACAATGAAAAATTAACAAATATAATGGGTACTTTAATATTTGTTTACATGCACACATAATTATACTTATATAATATATATGTATAAGAATATTTGGGACCGCTTTCTTTAACAAAATGAAATCCTTAAATGTCAATTTTCATTGAAAAAATATATGTTTTTTCAATTAGTTCACACATTTACCTGTGGATGCACTCATCTTAATATTTATATGTATTTGTTTTGTAAGTTTATATTCTTAACGACTTACTTTGTAGGTCTGCAGATTATTGATTGGTACTGTAACATTTTGTAATGGCTCACCAAATTTTGGTAAATCTGTCAAGATATGAAAAAAAAAAAATATTTTCTTAGTTAAATGTACACTTACACACGCTAAAGCAAAATAAAAAGTTTTAAAAAAGTTGTATACGATTTTTTAGCGGAGATTCTAAAAGAGCTGTTTTCTGTTTGGTTACTGTTAATATTGAACTAATTATATACCTTAAAGAAACTGTTACTGCTATAGTAATGATAGTTTTGGAAAATGATATTAACTTTCTTGAAAGTTTTATTTAAATATAAAACTCGAAGAACTAGAAGAACTGCATATTCTAAAATTCAATAGACATATTAATATTTGATACACTTATATTTAGGATTCAAGGAATATATTTCGATACACATTTTAAAATATATTTTCACATATTGTTTCACTTTCAAAATAAATAAGCTTACTAGCTTGCCCAGCAAACTTTGTTTTGCCGAATATGTTATTTTTTATTAAGGTAACCAATATACTTAAGTACTTCGTCTCAGAACGTCCCATTCAAAACGGTGGCTACAATAATGCTTTTTATAAATTTTTTAATTACTAATATTGTGCTATTGCCAGACCATGCTGGGTTTAAATATGAAGCAAAATAACCGGAGACAACTTCACTTGTTAGTGGTGCATGCCCGGCATATCCAATGTATACAAAAAATTAATTGGCGTCACAAAAAACATCGATAGCTTTGCCTGATACCAAGTCCCCTGGCAACAACTGCGGTATCTTTGAATTTAGCGACTTTTCCATTGCCAATACTCAAAAGTAGTTTTGAGAAAGTTTTGGCGAATGGATCTTGTCAGTTGTACTTTTTCAACATTACGTCACAGTCGCGATGATTTTAAGCAAGCGTGAACGTTGAGTAATGGAATATGTTTTTCTGAAATCACTTGAAAGGTATTACAGAGTGCCGACAAATAGTTTGTGGTTGTTTTTATATCTTCCGATATCCTTTCCAACGCCTCAAGTGAATGTTCATGTGAAATAGTGCAATCATCCCAAATAATAACAAACAGAAGCGTAAGAATGAACCAGTTCTACCTGGAGCATACGAAATAAAGGCCCTTGTCCTGCCGAAACGTTTTGTTTTTTATTCATCATTTAGTAAAGGAACAGTATCATGCTGCAGTACACGATTTATGTCTGTGTTGATTAAATCAGCTGCACTTCGATTTGGTGAACTCATACCGAAATGACTGATTGCTAAATTCGCAATGACAATGCAAAGATCCTCAATAGCAATCAATGCTTTATTATACATTGCGTGACTGAATGATATCGTTAGATCGTTGCACCTTGTACGATGTCGATACAATATATCATGAGTCATCGAATCTTTTTGATTATCTCACAACATTATTATTAGGACGAGAAACATGCCCTCAGTACTATAGCAAATAGTTGACGAATTTGTGTTCCTGGGCGGTTTAATGCTACTTTGGCAAACATATTGATGCTCATCTTCTAGTAAACCTAGTGCAAGGCATTAATTTTTATACGTTTATCCACTATACACAGACTATTATATCATATAGTTGCCATATAAACTTATCAATAGAAAAAATTAAGATCTTTACAACATATCCTTCTTCCTTATTATGTAACCTTAATTTGTCTTAAAGGTAGCAAAATGTGTTTCCTCGGATGCAAACCATTGGCCGGTTACATGTTCAGATTTCGTTATACGTACAGTTGCAGTAAGAAATGCACTTGTGAAGGGTATTATAGCTTCGTGGCAGATGTAGTTTTTTCTTACTTTAATGGTACAAGTTCAACATGATGTATTTATGATTCTGAATACAATATTTTGCACGTACAAAAAACTTTTTGTCTGAAACTAACATAAGAGTTACAAAAGGTATCCTTAATTTGAACAAAATACGATAACAAAAATGAAATTATGATAAATGATTTATTAGAGTATGAAAATTGCCGTGGTGTATTAAATTTATAAGAAATAATACATACAGTAACAAAATAGAGATATAGTTCAAACGTTTCATTAGCATTTGAGGGACAAGTGAATTTATTATCAGAATTACAAAACAAGTGAATGTTATATTAGTATCACGGAATATAAGTAATGTACAAGTATATGGGGTATATTTATATTTAGGTTAAGTTAGCGCCTTCTACAACAAGTGTCGTATAAAAACATAAAATGTGCGGTAAACCTTTCAGATTTATCCCTAGAAACGGTGTTTAGGGAAATAGCCATACATAAGACATACATAATTGTCTTCGGGAGATTGAGTATAGGCTTAACACCAACCTTCATTAGGCGCAATTTTCTTCGTGGAAACTAAATGACTACTTTATACCAATTTTGGTACAAACGTTTTCTTTCACAAAATCCTAACATAGTTAAGCAAACTAAGACCACTTGTGCTATTTTTATATTTTTATAAATTTATTTTAAATAACATTAGAGTATTTAACTGTAACGTATAGTATATAATATAAATACATAATATATATGTAAAAAAATCTAACCAATGCCTATTATTCGATTTTTAAATGGCTTAACCATAGATTTTCTATTTACATATTCATATGTCAGTAAAATTATATTAAATTGCTAAAAAGTACTCATATCTAAGAAACCTTCCAAAGCTAAAATATCCTGAACGTACTTGTTTACTCATGTGTTGGTACCTTTTGCTTGAGTTATCATGAGCTCAAACTCATGAGGCTTTTCAACCTTAATACGGGTTGCTGTTTTTATCGTTATCAAGAGAATTACTAACAACATAAAAATGAGCTACTAGACCTTCCCGCGACAAGTTGACATACCTTATCAGATTTTTCTGTTTTGTTGTTATTGGTATGACGTCAAGCTAACAACCGTTAATACGTGCAAAGTTAATGGATATATTCGGAAATTAATGTATGGGTATATTAAGTCATAAAAGTTCTTATTTATCATAATGTGCATATTTAAAGTGATTCGCCTTGATCTTGTACACACATTTTTTTTTTATTTATGTGGCTCTGTAGGCATTGCCTAACTGCCTCAGCATGTATGCATATATGGATGATTATTATAAAATTTTATTTGCTTAGCCAATTGTCAGGCGGCGGGTAAATATTAATAAACATTGTGTTATCCTTTTTTCTATGGAAGTTTGTATTGTTGCTGTTTTCGCTCCATTTCCGGTGTATTTAATTTTTTGTCACTTCAATCGATAGATTGTCAAAAAACTTTACTATAGAAATACTGAAATAGAAATGCTGATTGACAGCCGCATAGAAAAGCCTTTTGTGAATCTGGGCAGCATAATTTAATGATTAATTACTGTATGTAGATAATTTCAAAATGAACATGTCGCCAAGATTCAGAACTCGCAATTTAGAATTTCGAAACCTTTATGTAAACCTTGAAATATTTTAAAAATAAAATTTTAGTATTATCGTTGAAGTATATTAAATTAAAAAAAAAGAAAAACATAAAAGTAATACAGGGTTTTCCAATAAGTGTGATATGATTTTTTTTTCAAATAAAAAAACACTAATTGTTAGGGAAATTCAAATGTTTTTATTAAATGGAACCTCCAAAATAAGCTCTAGGTATATGTACATATATACAAGTTAAGTACCACATTATATGCGCCAAACGAATTCTATAAACAATCTGATGAATAATATTATTTGCCGCCTCACTGGATGTCTTTTCTCGTGGGAAGTGGCTTTGCAAGTACCCTAATTAATCCCGCTCTTATATGTGTTTTTTTTAAGAACATTGACTGAACATTAACCCGAATATCTCCGAGGAACTCTTCATGATGGCAAGAAAATAGCGATAAATTGACACCAATAAATTGACATCATTAGTAATAGAAGATGAGTCGAAGTTGGTAGCAGAGTAGTTCAGGTGCAATATATATGTTTAGTTGTCACAAGCACATGGTTATCAGATTATTGTTCGAGCAGTGAATGAAAATAAAGCACATAGAAGGGAATATAAATTAGTGAAAACAGTAAACATGTATGTTGGTACAAGTAGATGTAACGTTTGTGCAAGCTAATAGGGTATGATTTCTAGAGGCTAGGAATAAAGATGTTTAGACATACTGAAGTGGATATTTCCTTCCTAATGACAATATTTTCTCTATTTAAGAAATTATTAAATTTATCTACTATCAAGTCTATAACAAGTAAATATTTTTTCATGTGTATAACAGCCGCTCTCATATTTTTCTCAAAATTATATACTTCAGCGAAATAAAATTGTCTTGAGTTTAAGCGAACACATATTTCATGTCTCGGATATTTTTAATTCATGTATCAAAAAGTCATCCCAAACAAAAAACACATATGTTATAAAAATGTTCTAAAATCCCATCAAAAATCTACCAAAGAAACATGTGCAAAATCACACAATATTAACAAAACAAAGGATTTGCCAAGTGTGTATTGTGTATATGGTACTTAAAAGATTTAGTGACAACAGGTTTTCCATAAATGTAAACATCAGTTTAAAAACAACTAAGCGAAGCCTTTCGTTCAGGAAAAGCTGGTCAGTCGGCAAGTCTATTTAACAAGTATCAACACATTTCCAAAGAGAGTCTGACTCATGTCTATATGTCTGCGTAAGTAAATATGTTTGGGTGCATTAACATTTGTGTCATGTCATGACATTGCATATTCATGTTCATTCGTTTGTATATGCAGGGTGCAATCGAATTGTGATACAAAAACAAACCAAATTAACGTTTAATCAATGCATTACATTTATTTATTTTTTTCCCCATATTTTATTACTTAATTAATTACTTTTAAAAATTATGGACCGTAAATGACATCTTTAAATAACGGTGCCCATTGACAGTTACTGTTACGCCGTTTTCTTCATAGAAATATGGCCCGACAATACAACTTGATGAAACTGCGCACAACACAGAGACTCGTTCTGGGTGAAGTCCCATCTCGTGGGTTATTTCTGGATTTGCACGTCAATTTTGCTTGTTCACTTTTCCGTTTAGACCAAAATGGGTTCAAAGTTATTGCCTT